AGCGCGAGCCGCCGTAAACAGTGGCTGGTAGGTAAAAGAAAGGTGCAGGAGGCCGAGGTAGGCAGGAGGCAGGCGACAGTCAGCGGTCCTGGAACCAAGGTAGGCAGGGGGCAGGCGGCAGTCAGGCGGTCCCTGGGTAGCAGGGGACTTCAGGAAGGCTGAGCCGGTGGCCTGAGAGGAAGCATGGCCTGCCTAGGGACCACGACGGTAGAGACGCAGGGAGAGCTATAGAGAGGGTGGGGACGGGACAGCAGGCCTTTGGACTCCAGTCCCTGAGGAGATGAGCAGGGTGGGAGCCAGCAGTTGGCGTAATGGCTATGCCTCTGGACTCCCATGTAGTCGACCACGGTTCGAGTCCTGGACCTGGTGGCTTAAACTCACACTAGGCATGTGTGCATGCCCAAGATCCCAAGAGGAGAATGGAGGAGAAGGGATTGTGGCGTGGCCATCCGCCCTGGAGGGTGATTTCTCACTTTCTGTCTCTCTGTCTCTCTCTGTCTGTCTGGCGAGTGCACGCAACCTGTAACAAAAACCTCTCCAAAAAAGAAAGAAGATGAGCAGGGCGGTGGGCCAGCTCCATGGCCCGCTGGTGAACGCAGCCAGATCCCACACAGCCAACCGTGTGGTTTGAGTCCTGGACCTGAAGCTTGAGAAACATACCAGGCACATGTGTGCGTGCGTGCCACAGTCCCAAAGGAGGTAGAGCCAGAAGAGAGGGAAGGCGGTGTGACCATTCCCCGTGGGTGCCCTCCCTCTCGTTCTCTCCGTGTCTCCCTAGAGAGGAGAAACAGGCATGCGTCCTCGAACCAAAAGGAAAAGGGAAGGGGCGAGGAGATTTCCTGGAGGGCGCTGGTACTGGTTACGTTAGACCCCAAATCAAGGCTCGGTCTCAGCGTGGGCTGTTCTAAGCCCCCTGAATCTGGGGCAGAGGCTTGTCATGAAAACAAGTCCAGTTCCCAGAGGTGGGTGTTGGGCGAGGAAGCCAGTCCAGGGCAGGCAGGGCTTGGGAGAGAGAAGTCACCTGCACGGTCTGATTTTGTGGTGTAAGAATACCAAGCAGGGGCCAGCAGGTGGCGTGGTGGTTGAGGTGCTGGACTCCCACACGGCCAACCACAGTTCGAGTCCTGGACCTGGCAGCTTGCTCTCTCACTTTCCCTCTCTCTCTCTCACTGTGTCTCTCTCTGGTCAAATTAAAAATAATAACAATAAATAAAATTTAATAAATAGTTTTAGAAGAATACCAGGCAGTGCCCCTGCCTCAGTAGCTCCTATCCCCTGCCTACCACCAGGCCGAAATTAGCCATAGGACAGTCACT